TATATTCTTTTGGAAAAATGGCTTTTGGGATTTCAGGGTTGAACCATTTTTGAGGGTCCTGAACATTTTTACTTAGAGGACCCAACCCTGTTTACTTAGTACGTTTTTTTGAGATATAGGCACTCTGGTGATGATCACCACCGGTTATAGTTAGATTAATTCTTATAAATATATTATAAATATATTTTATTTTTATTTGTTTAATTATAATTTTTAGTATTATTATAATATAATTTAATATATTAAAATAATATTATAATAACATAATAATGAATAAGACTAATTTTAACATCTAGTTAAAATTATAAATTTTAACTACCTTTTATTTTTATAGAATTTTTATACTATATAAATAAATTATTCTTTAAAGAATAATATTAGAATACAGGCTATATTAAGTTAAAGTACAAATTATTTATATATAAAATTAGGTATTAAAAACTTTTACTTAATAGCCCAAAGCTAGTTCTTGTAATAAAATTTATGATATTAACAATTTTTTAATTTTTTTAAAAATTTTTTTTTATTTTGCTACACAAGATCCTGCAATCTAATTGGTAAATTATAGGGTGATTATATAATCAGGGGACAAATTAGCAACACTCTATAATAATAATATAAAAATTTTAATGTATTTGTAAATTTTGTAAATTGTATTAAAACTATATTATTACAATATAATATTTGTATAATTAAAAAGTATAAGTTTTTGCAAAGTATTAGTTATATATAACTTTGTAATTATGGTTCATTTTACTTATAATATATAATAAGGATAATATAATTATAATATAATTATTTATATATAATATTACAAATAATAAATTTTTAATTATAAAAAACTTTAAATTGCTTAAAAATACTATATTACTTATTAATAATTTCAACCCAATTTTAAATAGTTTTGGACAATTTTGGATAGTTTTGAACAGTTTTGTACATGTCCAATTGACAACACTGGCATATATACTGTACATAAATTTTTGGCAATCCTTTTATAGATATATAACTTCACATGCTGATTAATCAATAAAACTTAAGAATTGATCAATATAAAAGTATATTATTGGGTATTCTTAAAGCAAAATTTTTTAATATTGCTAGTATAAAACCAAATTTTATAAATTTAGGCTTATTATTTATTATTTACTATATTCAGCTTTGCTTAGAGCAATATTAAAGCTTCCAGACTTCTTTGTAATAATTTTTAGTTACATGCTTAAACCTATTATTATTATTTTATAAAATATTATATATACTATCAGCCACATGTATATACTATACATACTGTATATATATATATATGCATGAAAAAAATTGGGATATCATATAAATGGCACATATTTGTTTGTATTATGTGTGTAATAGCAATTGAAGTAAAAGTGACAATCAAAAGCTTTTAATGACTTTATAGAATAATAACAATAATAGAGTAAAATAAACTATACAATCAAAAATTGTTAGAGTGCAGACGTGGAAAATCATATCTTGTGTACTGTAACTTAATATTTTTTCGTAAATAATAAATAAAATAAGCACTGCTAAAGAAAACTATATGAGCTTATAAATTGTTAGGCTCAGAACTTGAACAATTTATTGTAATCAATGGCATATAATAATTAAAATTTTGATTAATGCAACCTCTAATGTTTACATTTAAGTACTACTAAGAGGAGACAGAATTTGAGGTTTTGAGTTTATAACCAGACAGACTCAGCTTTGAAAAATCAAATTAGGACTGTGCTCATTAAGTATAAGCCCTAAAACTCAAAGCCTGGTCTTCTCTTGGTATCATATATTTGCGCTTGTATAAACGAGCCAATCAGAATGCTTCTAATGTGGACAAATACATAATAATATAATGATAGGATTTGTTATAATAAGATTCATGTGATGTGTTCAGTGTTAAGTAGCATTAAAAAATTTCAGACAAGCTCAAAAATAATAAGCAAAATATATCATATGAGCGTTTAACCTAATTGATAAAGTAGATGTTAATTCTTATATTTAGATTACAGCATGAATAAGGTTTGCTCCTATTCCAAATTTATTATGTACCATAAAGTTAAAATAGTAATTGTTATGGGTGGTTGACCAGTATTAATTAATGTTGGCTTAGAAAGCTACAATTAGATGAATTTAGAAAGTTAAATGATTAGTAATATAGAACTTTAGTAATGTAAATATGTAAGAATTTTATAATTTATCGCTATAGTGATGTATTGCCAGTCTATGCAGTGTTTGAAATTTTGCTTACAAATCATCAAAATTTCAAACTCGCATAGACTAGTGATACATTTCTATGGCGATAAATTATAAAACCCAATATGTAAAATGTAAATTTGCAAGATTAAAGCTTTTATCTGAAGTTAGCATAATCAGGAGTAGAGATGGATTCAAATTTAAAAAAGGTTAAATTTAAATTTGAATTTAAAATTTTGTATTCTAATACAAATTTCAGAATTTTTAAATCTCTAACCAAGAGAGTATCACATGTGAACAATGGTTATTCAGCCATCCAGAATTATCTTATATTATAATAAAACTTGCAGATATCCGGATTGTATTTTTAATTTTAAGATGTCGACTTCTGATTGGCTATCATAATGTAATTATCGCGTGAGTGCATTTATAGAGAAATTTTTAATATGCGCGGAACCCAAAATCGTTGCACGCGCAGAACATAGAGGGTATCTAAGTCCCGAGCTTGGGACCGGGCTATGGTGGCATGTAGAGATGGTGTGCACTTATAGAGGGTGAATGTATAGAGGTTTTACTGTATATAATTGTTCGATTTATGTTATTTACTCAAGCTTAATGAAAATTATGGATTCCTGATCAAATTCTTAAAATTTTTATGAATTTTTACAGAACCGTGGCGAAGCCACGGGTCGGGTACTAGTATTTGTTACAATGCTCACACATTCCATATTTGTAATTCCTCAACTCATCAAATGTCTTATCAATCATAGCAGTAGATCTTAAATATTCATCAATTTCGCTAATCGGTAAAGTCAAATTCATTCATTAATTTCTCCAATAAATTCCTATTCAATAAATTAATTTAACGACTAACTAGTAAAAAAGAACTTGCACATCTAACTGACAGAGCTCTCTTTAATTGAATACACCCTTTTAACTTATCTATAATTTCCCTCCTTTTTTTCATCAAATCCTTCCTCTCATCAAGATACTGATTTATGCCTGATAAACTTTATTCCACTTCCAATATCTCCTCTCTTTTTCATCCAGACATTTATTTCGTGTGTTATAAATTTTATTCCATATCTCTAATTCCTGTTCCCGCCTCCTAGTTACTTCTTCTATGGCCTTTAATGCCCATGCATCATTTGGCTTTGTTTTTAATAAGTTTTTAATATCTTTACTATATTTTTCCTCATGTAGCAAGATTCTCCTTGATACCTTAATGTAAATGTATCAAAAGGTTCAATTTCAAGAAATTCTGTTAAGCATGAGAATGCTTCATCATTTCTACCCATAATGAAATAAGCCTCCCCCTTATATTTTGGTTCAACCTTTAATTATTTTATCAATTCTTCAAGCATTATTGCCTGATTACTTGGTTCGCAATTGTAAATGTTTAAGGCTTTATCCCATTGTTTTTTTTAGTATTTCACCTTAAATGTCAAAATTAGTTATTGATTCATATTTTAACATTCGATGTCCAAAATTTATTTCAGCAGATCCTCCTATACCCGATTTTTGTAACATACTAAATCCAACACAAGGATATAATGCAGCACCTTTCTTTATAAGGTTATTACTTTCGAATGCAATCCCTAAATGTGCACCATTTTTCGTAAGAATATATTATTATTTCTCAAGTTTATATAACATCCAATAATATTACCAGTAGTAAAAGATGGTCCATAAGACCTGTCATATTTAAATGGCAAAAAAATTTTCCATTGTCACTGTGATAACCCAAAGAATTGTCGTCCCATCCAGGCATTGTAAATGGACTAGTTGTCTTAGTACACAATCCGATTCCAATACTAGTATTTTTACCTTCATAAATAATGTTAATTTCAAATAAAGCAATTCACATAGTGGAATTTGATAATCTATTTGCACCATTGCAAATTGAGCTCGAAAACGAGTAATTTATCTTGGAGCATTCACTTTAAGCCCATACAAATTTTAAAAACTTAAAAAGTACGAGCCATCAACTTTTCATCGTGTCGGCAATACCATAATCGCTAGATATTTCTCTATCTGTGATAAGTTTCAATTATATACCAGCATTAGTACAATAATGAATAGAGACAGGATTATCTGTCTTATTTCAATTCTATTTTTTTATTAGTGAAAATTCTATATTATAATTATCTTGAGGATATAATATTTGTGCATACTTTAGATAAGTTACCGTTACAACCAATTAACACGCAGATTTTACGATAACGATAGGGATGACCAAGACTATGTGCCCACGTGATTTTTAAGAACAAGAAACACGTTGGGCAAATGCAGTGAGCTATGCGAAATATAATTAATCTTGTGTATCAAAATATTATAATAGTATTTAATGTGGGTAGTTCCATATCAAATCAGGGTAATATTTTTTTATTTGTTATGCATGTTAGCAATTCTCACGTTTTAGCTAAAGAATTATTTACCAAGATTATTCATCAATGGTAACAAAGTCCAAACTTTACTTTATTAGATAACATGGGTTAGTTTGTATTGAAATTGTCGTAATTTATATTTTGATTATGGTGATACACAGTATGCAGTTAAACTTGAATTAGTTTATGTTAGATTACAGTTGTAAATTCTATCACAATTTATTGTAAAAAAATTTGTTATGAAGTATGCCAAGCGAGTGCAGTCCAAGAAATTCCATGACAGATTTCTAAAGATATTTTTTTTTGTTTGACCGATATCCAAATATCTGAATATTCAAGAATGCACAAAGTATGCTAAGCTTTAATAATTACACTGCAGTAGAGTCCAGGATTATAATTCGATCACTGCAAAATTATGCATGTGACAAAATCCCACAAATCTTAAATTGTGCAAATTATGCGTGTCTTGGAATTAGGCTTGAATTTATATTAATTACATGCAAATTTCATCGTTATGATTAATACGTATACCAATATTATAAAAGTTTGCCGGTACACAAATAAAAATGCAATCAAACTTTTATAAATGCACTATGACGAGATCAATGATTTTGAGAAATCACGTTTTTGTATATCATACCAATTCTGCAATTAGTACGTACTTGCATGTAAAACTTAAAAATACGTATAGAGATAAATTATTAAACTCATAATTTAACGTTCTAATTAGAATTATACATCTGTCTATGCTTGATTCAATAAGTCAATAAACATTTTTTAGCCAAAAAGGAGAACTCCTCCTTTCCATTGAACATCGTCATATGTAAAAATTTAGTCAAATGTGCATTCATCTATGTATTGCGTTTCTGAGGCAAATATAGACCAATTTAAATTCAGTGGTTTACATTACACTCTTTTCCTGAATGGGAGGAGGAAATAATCCGTAGTAATATATAAATTTTCCGAAAATTATATGACTCTATGTATTTATCATAATTTTTTTCCACAAAGAGGGTGAGAAAAGAAACCACTGAATAAGGATATATGTGGTCCGGTCTAAGGCTGATAGGCCACAGTTAGTTTAAGACCAGTTTGAAACCGAAAAAAATTGGTATGCTCTAAGTTTTAAGATCGGACCAGTCTGGACCGATCTGAACTAACAAAGTCTTAAGACTGGAAACCATAATAGACCGAATCAAGACTGGACCAAAATAGACCAGACTAGACTGTTAACATTCCTACCATCAAATCAAGTTGGCTTGATTTAAAAATCTATAGCGTTATATTAAATGTAACTTGCATTTAGAGGTTGCATTTGAGTCTGACTATAAATTTATTAGTTTCTTTAAATATTATTCAACTTAATTAATTACCTATGATGATTGATTTTTTTTATATTGATATATACATATGAAGTTAAAAGGAACGTTGTTACGTTAAAAATAAAATTTAAAAAAGTCTTTTGAATTTATATTTGTAATGTGAATTTGCATTAGCTGTGTACTGTACGAACTGTACATAATAATACTTCAGACGTGCTTGTGTAACGTTACCCGCCGTTACATTGGTTCGCGGAAGCAGTTACCACTTTTTCGGTGTGCATGACGTTCTTCAATAAAGAATTTAATAAATTATTTTACGTGATCAAAAACTCTTGTAATACCCAGGAATGAATAAAATCAAGCATTTTCGAAATAATAGTTGTGCACTTTTTTTTTCGAAAAATTAATAATATTTATACGCTTTTAATAATAACTTTCTTTAATAGCAGCAATGAAATTAGGTTTTCTTTTTATCATATCCGTAATTACTATTAATAGCATATGTGCATACCCCAATAAGCAATTGCCTACTATTAATCTGGTAAAAAGAGTGAGTGTTGCGACTAACTACACTAATGCAATAGTGAAAGCAGTTCGTATGAGGCAAGCAGCCATAAATAAATACTCTAACTACCCAGAACTTAATTTAACATCCATTTCTAATGAAATATCTTCCGTAACGGCTTCTGCCAATAAAACATTATCTGATATAGCTTCAAATATCAATGGAACAATTTCTGACAATATTCTTTCAAAATCTACGAAAGGCAAATGTACCTTTAATATAAAAAATATTCAGCAAGATGAAGCATATTATGCGGAAATCATCATTGGAAATCAAAAATTTAGTTGTCTTCTAGATACCGGATCTTCAAATCTCTGGATTCCAAATAAGAATTGTACTTCCGCTTCTTGTCAAAATCATAATAGTTTTGAGTCAAGTAAATCACCAACTTTTAAATCCGAAGGTAATCCATGGTCTATCTTATATGGTAGTGGCTCTGCCTCTGGTGTTACCGGAAAAGATAATATTAAAATTGGACAAGTAACTGCCGAAGACCAAATTTTTGGTCTTGCAGATCTCGTATCTGATGTTTTTCTACCACTTGAATCTGATGGAAATTGTGGAATGGCCTTTGACAGTTTGAATACTATGGATAGTGGTGCTCCAACATTAGTCTCTACTTTAATTAATCAAAATAAAATTAATCCACTTTTTAGCTTTCATTGCTCACATTATTTAGATTTCGACGATCAAGGAACACTTACTTTGGGAGGTGTTGATGAAAGTAAATTTACTGGAGAAATTACATATAGCCCAGTAATTCCCGGTACTGGGTTTTGGTCAATACCACTAATTGATGCATTAGTTAATGGCGAACCAACGTTGAATTTAGCAAGGCCTGCAATTATTGACACTGGCACTACACTTCTTATGATACCTCCAGATGATGCAGCAGCAATTCATAAACAAATTCCAGGATCCGAATATGATAGTCAAGATAGTATCTATATTATCCCATGTAACACCACTGCTGTAGTTTCTCTTAATTTTGGAGGTGTTGAATATAATATTCCACCCAGAGATTTAATTTTTTCACCAATATCTGGTACACAATGCGTATCATCCATTATACCTGCATATATTCTCGAGCCTCTTCCCATTTGGCTCTGCGGTCAAACATTCTTAAAAAATGTATATTCTGTATTCGATGTGGGAAACAAACAAGTTGGATTCGCACATAGTAAATAATCTGTGTATTTCATTCTAGTTGTTTATTATTATATAATCTGTCGATGATAATTTAATTTTAATATTATTTTTAAAGTTTTTTTTTTCTCATTTTGGATTTATTCATATTCTTTTGATCCTAATATCGATGTTATATGTGTCACATATATGTAGATTTTTACATCTTGATTTGAATTATTTAATTTTTATTATTAACATAGAAAGTATTCACTTCGCCTAATGTAATAAAACAATATACCTACATTGTATTATTTTAAATTTCTTTCGTTATTATTGTTCTGTATATATTGTTATTTTTCATATATTGTTATTTTTCTTTTGCTTTAACAATTACACATGATTATATTCGCTTCCGAAAAGTATTTATTTTTAATAATAACGATAAATTATTGCAGTATTGTTTATTCTTTAACGCAGTTAAAACGTTGATCATTTTTCGTGATACCGATACGGCTTTCCATTCTTATTTTGGTTGGTCTTAATTAATTTGTGCAGAATTGCCTTAAATTTATTATCGTTATAGTTACACGGGAAAAAAGCAATCATTATTGGTATATGATCGGCCGACCTTACGATTACCAAAAAAAAAAGTCTATTGATTGTACCACCGTTTAGCTAGTGTAAAAATCCGCCCATATGTAATTTGTTCTACATCAATTAACATTAACTGTATAACAACTATGCATGCAAGATTCGAATAGGCTGGGCATCCTCATGTCCTAAATTAATAATTAATAGATGTATTATCATTTATTTATAGCTACTTCTGTATCTTTTTGCTAATGAGCTAGTAAATTCTCGAAATAACGCCCAGGGGTAAAATTACGAAATTTGGCCTTAATTCGGGCCAAAACGCCTATGCCCGCTATTTTGAGAATTTATGGTATGTTATGTTCATAATAAAATTTTAAATCGAAATTTTAAATCGAAATTTTTTATTTCTTCCATCCGTCCTTTAGTTGCTATTTCAGGACCCATACCTTAAATCATATTTTTATTCGTGTGGTCTTCTTTACAATATGTCTGCATAATATTATTTATTCGATTATTAAATTTGAATGCAAACAATTGTTATTCTCATTGACTAATTAATCGAATAACTAACAGTTATTTAAATTTTTATATCAATAAATATTTTATACACACACAAAATTAATGTGAAAATATTCATTAATACTTGGATTAATAAATATTCATGAAGTTTAAATAGCTTATTATTAATGCCTAGATTAATAAATGCGCTTTATACTTATGCATTAAATCAATGTAACAATTGTGAATTCAAATAATATAATTTTTTTCAAATATTTAATTAGTGAACATTTTGATAGTTATTAAATCAGAACAAATAAAATGAAATCAAATAGTAAAACATTCATGAATTTGAAAAGCCTATTTTAAGTAAATTATGTAATAAATGCTTTGTACAGTCCTCCTCCTCTATAACCATGATGTTTGTTTTACATAAAAAAGGATGGGATTATAAAATTTTAATAGTAATGTGATTATATAGAGTTTTTTTAAGCCGATAATTTCTCAAAAAATGGTCTTATAAAGAGGTGTGATTATATAGGAGGTGATTGTAGAGAAAGACGACTGTAATCACAGTCATTAATTTGAATTACTTAGATTAATAAATGCTCTTTATATTATATTCACGAACCAAATTAAGAAATGGAGTTAGATATACTAAGTAAAACTTGTGCAATCTGAATTTTGACTATTTTATATAATCCCCATCTTAGTCTCAAACTACGCACTACCTTAAATTTTAGTAAAAACTTATTTTTTTTGCAAAAAATTATTATAAAATAAGAGCGGATACTAATAACCCCGGTATAAATATGGCTTATTCCAATTTTAAAATGTTGATTCAAATACTGGATATTAAAGAACAGCTTTTCAATTTAATAATTTTTCATAATATAAATATAGTGACATGTGCTGTTATAAAGATTTCAGTAGAATTACTCACCTTTGCTGATTTCAGATATATCCGCTCTATCTAATTTAACAGTAAATTTGTAACAAATAAACGAAATCAGATCATAATTATAACACGAGTATATTTAGTCAAAACAGTGCTTTGGTGAGTTAATTTCGAAATATGCCTTGAAACATTGCTATAAGTGTATATGTCAAAATATCACAACAAATTTCTCCTCAGAAAAATAACTGGCATTGTAACATCTTTAACTCAATTATGGCGTATTACAATGAACTGCTTCCTTTAAATATCTAGTACTGTAACGTAGCTGCGAAGAATCTTAATCGTAAAGCTCTCAAAAAATTTTTTAATAACTATAATATTTACAACTTTGAAAATCTCACACATTGAATGTCTTTAAGGTTAATAGATAGGGGCTACTGATAATATTATCCCTTACCTTTATAAAAAAATTAACAATACTTAACATCAGCGTTGTTGAGTAATTCTAAGTATTTTTTACACGTAGTTTCATCATTTTTAAAGAATTCCAGTTTAATAAGAGTTCTAACTTTTGTTTCCATAAGACTTCTTCATTTTTGTTATCAGTTAATTAATGCAATAATGGCTTTTAATTCTTTCTCACATTGCTGTAATGATCAATATATATATATTTAACTTTACCACATAATAAAAATTTCCATGATTGAACTTTAAGCTCATGTTAATGGTTAAGATTGCTTACATGTTGATAATTGACTTATACTAAAATGCACATACGTTATGGTGTTTTATACCCATGCATACATTATTTCAAAAACTAGCTGATTAATCAGCGCGAAGTATTCTAAGTATAAATGTTTATGCCCTTAAAAACCTTCACAAACTCTAATTCTAATCATCTTTTATATTGCAAATATAAGAAAATATTTATTAAACCTAATGTTAAAATAACTATTCAAGTTTATGTATTAAGTTTATACATATGTTAGATTATTATAAAGAACATTTATTAATAAATAAATCTGAATATAGAGCAATCCCAAGTTCATTTTGTAAACAATATATTTCATCGACTGTCAATTTCACAGAAAAGCTATTCTTATATGTTACAACAAATTTAAATCTAATTCTAAACCTGACCCTAATGACAGTGATTAGAATTACTTTGTGAAGTGGGCTGCCAGTGAAATGAACTGTTTATGAGACGAACTTGTTTGAGAATTAATTGTCTGTAAAATAACTTTGCTGTAAATTAATTGTTTGTGAACTAAGTTGTCTGTGAAGTAATTATCAGTGAGTTGATCAAAACTAAATTTATTTATCCATAAACTATTACCTATACCGATATTAATAAAATAAATTAGCCTATAATTTACTCATTACCATAACTGTGCAACAAATAAACAACTCCATTAGTAATATCCTTACCCTTGTTTATTATTCAAATTTATATAATGATCTTCACTATGTTTGTAAATTATAGTACCCTAAAGACTCGTTTTACCAATTTTAAGACCCATAATTAGACCCGCGGATCTCTTGTTTGGGTTTGGGTCTGATAATTGGGGTTTAATCTATTTTGTTAGTTTTTTCCGAATTGTATACCCTGGGCCTTTACATTTACCAAAGTCATGTTGTAGATCCGAATATAGTACATAGGGAGTCTGATATCTGAGGGGTCTTGTATACGACAGTTTACAGTATAAAGATTAATATAAATAGCTATAAAGTTTTTATAAAACTACATAAAAAAATTTACATAAAAAAATTTACATAATTCTACATAAAAGTTCTACATAAAAATAATTTCGTGATGCATAATAGGGACACATCATGGCTAGGGATGTTCTACATCAATAACCACACGATATTTGAACTAGAGCCGGATCATGGGTCGAAAATTGCTCTAACCCGGTTCAGAATTTAAAGTAGGAAAAACCTACTAAAACACTATATTACAATACTATATAGCTAGAAGACATTATAGTAACTAAATAGTAAAGCTCTTACCCGGGTCGTCTAACCCGTACGGGTCAGCTTCTTGAGGGTCACGTATTTTCCGGGGTAGAAAATGGCCAATTTAAATAATTGGAGTACAAATGTTCTCTGTACTAACAGCTCTAATTAAGTATTTTTGCATCAGCTTTTAAGGAAAAACTTTATGAATTTCCTGACCCGCCCGAGTCGGTATTTTCTGACCTGGGTAAGAGCTCTATTTGAATTGATATAGCAGGAGCTGTTTTCAATTAATATTAAAATGTGAATTTTATAGTTATGTACATTCTTAAGCATATACGTACATACGTACGTACTTACATTGAATTGCATTAAATTAATTATATTTTTCTCATCATATGATTTTTTACTTGAGTTTGGACCGAACAATCATGGCCATAGGTGCGCCTGTGATTAATATAGGGCAGATCATCATTTAAACGAAGTTTATTGTTACCGCGCTCATTGAGTCGTACTAATACGGATATGTAAAGCGGTAATTCTATCTATAATTAATTCAGGGCTTTTTGAAAAGTGTGATTGTACCACCAGATTATACAAGATTTTACGTATAACTTTGTTGCAAGAGATGGTGCCCAAATTTTATTATCAGCAAATTCCAAGGAATTTTAGCATGATTTTTTTTTGATTTTGTAAAAAATCATCGGCCCTGTTTAATCCCTTCTTTTTAATACAATAGCATCAAAAATATGCCCAAGAAGGATGATATTAGTAAGGATACTGGCAAGTTTATGCAAAGAAAATTGGATCTTTTACGCTTATGTACAAAACAATCTGAATCTTGTGAAAAATGCGCATTTCAATCTCAATATGACCCTTACTCTCTCTATTGGCGCCATCTTGATTGGAGTTATTTTGATTATTATCAAAATTAAGACGAATTCTTTTGTTTCCAATATCATAACAAACTCCATAACTGGTCTTCTGGGTGGTGGCGCTCTTTTGTCAAACTGCAAAAACTTTTTTTCTACTATAGTTAGCATGACAGAGAAACAGAATGTGAATAAACAAAACGCTAATACTATTCTTGGTCTAAATAGTGATATAGAGGACGAAATTATAAAGTCTTCCTTGAAAAATCTCCCCAACTTTGAGGACGGAATAAAGGATCTTTCTATCGAAAAACGGAACAAACGTTTACAGATTGTAAATATGCTTTCAAGTATATGGGCTATTCTTGGAAGTATTTGTATCATTTCTCTTGTTTCAGCAGACATAATTTTTTCTATTGTACACAATAATATTACCACAATTCTTGGTTTTGCTGCTGATTGTATCCTCATTGTTGGTAGAATCCCTGGCTTGGGATACTGCACTGCTTTTTATCTTGTTCTAAATAACCCTGAAATTTTTAATGTTGAAAATGATAAATGGAGAAAAATGCGTTGTATCATACGCACCGTCTTTTTCCCAAATCTTTTATGCGTTGGTCTTACAGCTTTTAGAGACAGGGAAAAGGAGGAATCATTTGGTTCTATTTGCATCTTGAAATTTTCATGGAAAAAATCGGGAGAGCAGAAAGATATACGAAAGCAGAATGATATACAAGAGCAGAAAGATATACGAGAGCCGAAAGATATACAAGAGCAGAAAGATATACAAGAGCAGAAAGATATATAAGAGCAGAAAGATATACGAGAGCAGAAAGATATACGAGAGCAGAAAGATATACGAGAGCAGAAAGATATACGAGAGCAAAAAGATGATATATGCATCTTTGTATGACGTGTTATTTTGAATAAAAATGAATGCAAGGATATAGAATGTCTCTTGAACGGACTGGCTCCAAAAATTTTAGAAGTTAAGAATATTCTAGATCTTCTTGATGAAAAAAAAGATGGTAATCTGAGAATTTTTGAATTTTTTGATAACAAAAATGAGCGTAAAACTTTCATTGGTGCTCTGGAGGATTTAGCCAAAGGCACAAAAGACAATGAAGAAATATGGAATTTGTTATGACTACATCTACGTAATGTAGATTGGAACAATCTTGAAAATTTTGGATATCTCATTACATGTGCTCTTAACCTTGTCAGACAGGAACTTGCTAAAAATAAACATACTGATAATGATCCAATTTCAAATAAAATTAATAAAATCATCAGTAATATTGATAAACTCTCGAAGGATAAGATAATTATTAACATTAACAACGATGGTCAAGAGGACTAATAATATGGAGTACTAAGCAAATATAACGAGAAGCATTTCTTGAGGGTTCATGAATTGTTATTAATAGTTTGATTTTCCATATCTATTTATTTTTCTGCCACGTTCTTTTTTTTTAGCTTAGCAATTTATTATCATAAACTTTAGCAAATTTGATGGTCTTTGAAGTCCCAGGATCTTTGTCCTTGTTTTCAGTTATTGTTATGGTTGCGTCTGTGTTCTAAACATTTTCTTTGGTTCGGTCCCACTATCAATTTCTATCTTAAGATACTTTCATCAATTTTTCTAGTTGAAGTGCATATTCAGATTATAAAAGAAAATTATTCAAACATTACATAATACATTACTGGTTAATTCACCATGAAATGAATTATTAAAATTCAATAAATTGGAAAATATATTACCCTTTATAGAAGCTATAAAAAAACTTGAACAGAATAATATAATCGAAGAAGGGAGTGAATAGTTATGTGAGAGAGCTATATAGTATTATCAATTTTTATATTTTTTTTTATTTTGAGAACATTTTCTTTTATCTTTTTAGTTTATACAACATATTTAAAAACTGTTAAATATTTCCATTTATATTTTTTTTATCGTGCTTACATTTATATAAATTGTTTGCATGTGCGTAGGAAATGTTTTTTTTTTTTAATTTAGGTCGCATAACAAATAATAAAATGTATACAGCACAGTCACACCCACGGATATAAAAATGCGTGATTATAGAAAAGTGTGCTAATTATAGAGGTCAAATTTATTATATTTTTAAAAAATTACGAAAGTTACACCTTCCCAAGGCACGTTACATAAAAACATATTTTATATAATTAATTTAAATTCAAATTTGAGAATTTGCTCGTGAATTCTGAAAATTTTTTTGTATCATATATAGATGTCTTGAGGATGTATTTGCTTAATCGGTTCTGGATTGATCTTATTAACTTTCAAATATTGTTTTTTGATTTCATTATCATTTTTCTGATCCACTTCATACAACCAAGGAGTGATTATTTCAATAATTTCTGTTGCTGTAGGTCGTTTATCATGATCTTTATTATACATTTCATAGATAAATTAATATAACAATCTGGTCCCAAACATTTATATCTTGATCCATTGATAATTCTTGATACATCATTAAACGGAATTCCATCAAATGTCCTTTTTCCGGTTGAAATCTTTGTCGCAATAACTCCAAAACTGTAAATATCTTATGCTTGACCCACCAAAACCTCTGGTGCTATATATGGTATAATTCCACAAAATTTTCCTTTCTTTACTTTTCTAGAAAGTCCAAGATCAGCAATGTATGTGTCATGCAAAGCAAAAGTTTGCAAAATATTTCCGCTGTGTAAATCTTTGTGAACGAGTTTCTGTATGAATAGACACAAGATCCAAAGCAATACCGCACAAAATATTCAATTTTTCTTTCCATTCTAATTGTGATACTTTTACAAGATTTTGTCATAGCTAGAGATTAGGCTGTATAAAATTCCCTCTCCGGATAACCGACCCATATTACAAACTCAAAACCGGATAACAACCCGGTTTATCAAATAATAATAACCCAAGTAACCCGGTTACCCGGTTATGACAATAAATTGGGATACCGATTTTTTTTTTTTGGATGATGTAAAAATTTGGATTTAGGGTCACATTACTTGATTTTGAATTATTGGTCGTTCTCAAAATTTTCGAAATCTTGAATTGTATGAACCCAGCCAATCAGATCAATCAGATTAGTAGAAATTAACTGACAACGTGACCTGTGACCAACCAAACTGCTAAAGTCGTGCTAGAATTTTATTATCCGTATTAACTGGTTAGCAAAATTGCGATCCGGTTAATATTAAGTGTGATTATATGGGTCACCCGGTAGAGATGTGCACGCGCGGGATTTTTAATATGATCCCAAATAAAATTATCCAGCCGGCATTACCAAACTATCTGGCCGGCACTAATATAATATCTGGCCTGCGTTAACTATCTAATGACTTATAAGAATTGAACAAGAAAATTAATTTTTCAATAATAAATATTGTACGGTTTTTTTTTATTAAATGCAAAAATTAAAAAATCTACAGACTGGTTTCCTATCCCGCACGGGATTTTTGAAAAAACCGCGATTTGCCTATCTCTATCACCCGGGTAATCCTTATTCGGTGTTACGTCTCTTACATGATATAAATTTTTTTTCTCTATTTTTAGATTGGCAGTCGAGCCATAGTTTTCTTTATTTCTTTCTTTATTTGTAATTCATATATTACCCATTTTATTTTCTTATTTGTAATTCATATATTACCCATTTTATTTTCTTATTTGTAATTCTAATATAGATGTATAGTTATTACTTGAATTGGCAATTTCTGTATGATAATCAATCGGTGCATGTGAAGTGGTCCAACATTATTTTAATCATTGTGACAGATCGTTGTCTCAACCCCGCTTAATTGTATATCCATGACCCCTGACAGGAAAAGGTATTACTGAAACTTTGTATAACGGTTTCGTGAAAAGACTAATGATTTTGAAATTGGTCATCATACAATTTTTCTCATAACCTTATTTCAGAAGGTTATATGCGCGGTTGTATACTCAGATGTGAGAATCGTCTGATTCACGCATGTATTCACTGCATTTATCTAAAGATGAAGAAAAAGCATTTAATTATTACACTGGTGCTCTTCCCGAAAGGGAATTATTGGTGTTGGGGTAATATTCAAAAATAGAGACAGAAATAATCAATTAATTAAGTATTCTAAAATAATTATATTAGAAAAATATGTATAAAAAGACTTGATGTTTTCGCTTAATAAAGATTTCTTCAGACTTTGCTCTTTACAATTTTCTTTGGCTTTTATAACTGAACGGCTGATTGAAGCCTAGTATATTTAATAGAAACCGTGTATTGTTAGCACATGCTTCTTGTTAGCATTAAGTTATCTTAATGTGTGTTTATTAAAATTTTGACTTTCATTGTAGTTTTTTTAACTTTATTATCAAAAGTCATTGTGAATACATCTTCATGATCTTTTATCTTTTATCTTTACAATACATGAATACATCTTCACATTCATAATATATATTTAGGATTTTTAATCTTCCATCATGCCTTAAATTAATCCTGTTTCAGGTTTTCAACAATTAGACAATCACAATTGATTTAGATATCAGCATATTCTAATTTTACCATATGCATCTCTTAAATTATACCCCACAGTTCCCCGCTTCGCTCTATATAGATACCCACCATTTCATATCAGCAGTGATATTTGCTTTCCCCAACAATACTAGAGTAGTTTCCCACACTATTATAGAACAACTTCACCCACGAATTCAATAGTCAGTTCACTATTCTGACCTATACTGGCACTATTTTATCTGACACTCTCCCAACCCAATAGTAATCTTTTAATGCAATCTACATAACAATAATTTAGTCACATGATTATTTCTTGACACTTCTAAACAGTTCAAAAACGAAGGATTCTTATAACTAATTTTACAGTAATTCTTAAATTCCTGGATAAATTCTTATACATTTTCATTTGAATCACGAAACACTTTAAGTGCAATATCCTACTACCAGTGTTGGCTTTTGGACAATGTCTAATAAAAGTTTTATTTAAACTTGGACAAAAATGGACATGAACTAGTCCAAATAGTGTCCATGTTCATATCTTTTTTTACCAAATATTTCAGAATATTTTACACCTTTGCCCTAATTTTGTATTATTCTTCTAGAATGTTTCAGAGTAGCAAGCCCCATGTTTGATTTGGACTAAGTGCCTTATGTCAAATAGAAAAATATAGACAATATGGATATAGTCCATAAATGTCCATGTCCATTGGTCCATATTGTTCATATTTATATTTTGCCAACACTGCCTATCATACATAATTAATTCTATCAAAAAATGTTGTATGCAAATCCTTCTTTTCCCACTTCTTTGAAAATTCTGAACTCATTATAATCAATCCAAGTAATTTAAATCTCTCATCATCTAATATTCTCTTAAGTTCAGGGTTCATATAATCAGTGATTTATTATTTTTCAAAAGACTTCTATATTTTGTGATCCAATAATTTGCCTCCTAAATATTTCTTTTTGTACCCATACTATTTCGATAAAGTTAAGCAACATTATACATTAATAAATGATGATCCATATTAACAAATTTTTTATAGTATTTAAATGCTTTATTATAATCTTGGTTAACTCCTAGTTCACTTTCATAAAGACCACCAACATTATATTGCATAAGTGTTACATTGGTAACCAAATCCCAGTATACTTTGTTACACAGAAAATTACAGGCTTGCTGGACTATACTAAACCAACCAAACAAACACAACACTAGACCACCTTATTGAAAGAGATACTTAGATTTGGATGAGTGAAAATGGTTCTAAGGTTTTAGCAAACCTTAGACTACAAATATCACATGACAATCACTTGACATGGTGATAGACAAACACTGAAACCAACTCACAAAGAAATTGTATATTTTCAATATGTTGGGATTAGAGTGGACTGAAAAATGTAATCTGAAAATATGTACATATTTGGTCACATTTTATATATATTATATGGACACATATGTGTTTTCTAGCTCAACAACTACTGGGTCAAATTCAGTGAATTTTTTTTATCTTAATTTTATAAACTTGTAGAATGAAAATAAAAAAAGAATATTAAATTTGTTCTGGTAGTTGTTGAGAAATATTCATATAGAATTTTAAAAAAGTATTAAAAACATCTTAGAAAATCAAGACTGCAAATGTATTGTTTTAAAAAAATACAATTGCAGCCTTGTTTTTCTAAGTTGTTTAAAATTTTTTAAAATTTTATATGAATATTTCTCAACAACTACCAGATCTATTTTGATAAATTTTTATTCTACAAGTTTATAGCATTAAAATAAAAAAAAAATACCAAATTTGACTTAGTAGTCATTGAGAAACTATTACTAGAAGTTTTAAAAAAATATGGCATCACATATGTGACTATATAATATACATAAAACATGACCACATATGTATATATTTGCACATCACATTTCTCAGTCCACTCTAGTCAGGATATAACCTCAAGATAATACAATAATGAACTAATCAATTTGATATCAATAATGAACACTTTAGCTAAATTGGTTTAATTCAGTGAAGGGTAGACTTTAGACGGTATAATGGTTATATTTCATGATGAATTTAAGATAACTAACAAAGATTTAGTTTATTGAGGACACAATTAATGATGTAATGGATTATATATGAAAAAGTGACAATAGACAAGCCAAGAGCACTTGTTTCATGTAAGAGACAATGATTCTGTATTGTATGAACAATAATACTCAAAGAGCCAAATTTTGTTCTTTATTTATAACAAATTAATACATACTTGGAAAATAACAATAATACTAATACTCTTAATAATGTTGGTTTTGTTATTATTATCAGAATTCACTATACTGCCAAAATAATTATTATAGAAATTATTGTTAATTTTATGAGTATTTACAGTAAGGCCAGAATCATCAACAATGCAAATCGGACAAAACTGGCAAAACTGTTAGTACTGTAATTACTGGTATAGGACTTAAATAAATTAAAGATTGACTACACTGAAATTGCTGTGGCAGATGTCAATGAAATTTGCTGGGAAGCAAATTATTCAGGAAATACTATGTTTAAAATATGTTAATTGCTTATAATGAGTATATAGTATCTATAGCTAAGGATTGAATTAGTTTAATCAACTAAAATATTCATATAGTAAGCTACTATATTTAGTTAACTAAACCAATTCCAATCTCTACCTATAGTGACTAGAGTACTGGGTTTAATTGATCAAATTAACAATTTCATATATGTATAGTCTATTATAATAAATATATTATTAAATATAATCTATTATAGTTTATTATAGTACAGTCAAACCTCCCTATAGTCACTCTCTATATAATCATATTATATAAAAATTCACTTTATAAGCACATTTATTTTAAAACCAACTATTATAAGTATATAGAAAAAACTTCTTTATAAGCACATCTTAGTAAAATTCTCTTTACAATCACACAAATCTTTATCCCAAGGAGTGTGATTATAGAGAGGTTAGACTATATATACATAATCTCATATAACAAATATAATTATCTATTATTGGTTTGATTAAACTAATTTGTAGTTAGATTAAATAGTTTAGTATAAATATAAATAAAGAGATTTGTAAACAACTCCAGTTTTTTTTTTTTATTCAAAATTAAGTTTTTTACTATAAAACAAATAAACATTTTTAATAAAAACAATAAAGTTTATAAATTATTAAAGTGATTGTGTCTGGTGGGCTTTGCCAGTACTAAATAAGTGCTTTGCCTTAGAAAAACTAATCTAAGATCCTGTAGCTAAGAACCTCTATAACAAGAAAGAACCTAAGTAGATTTAAAAGGCTTTTATATTAAGATATAGTCTGGTGCAAAAAATTTTGTATATCAAATAAAAATTTGTATCACAGAGTTATCTAAACTACTGTGTATTTGCGGGTCTTTACTACCAAACTTCACTTGCTTGGCTAATTACATGATGACTAGAATATTGTATCAGATACTACTACCACCAATACAATATTACTAAGATATGGTTTATTTACTAAGAACAAAGTTTATTGTTTAGAAGTTTCTTTTTTATTAAAGACTATTCTATTCATCTCTCTAATCTAAAACTAAGCTAATTACTAGTTCTATTTATATTACATGATAATTGATCATGTAACACGTAAGTTATATGAACCTGATTCTGACCTGTGCTACTAAACATGGGTTAACCAAATCTACCATGTCATGAGCTAGACTCCCAGAACTTTGTCCTAAAGTCTTACTCTTGTAAACCAAATTACCCAACACAAAATAGCCAAGTTACTAACTTCTAATATACATAATCTATTATTCTATAGTAATATTTAAATGTCTACATAATTTTAACCTCCAAAAACCTATTATTGATTATTATAATTATTCCTGATCCAACATTATTTGTACATCGATTCTTCCGAGCTTTTATATATTAAAACAGCTACCAAACATCATATTTGCCAATCCATCATATTTGATCATATGATCCAAATACAATCATCTAGGAAATTCAATCTTTTCACATTTAAATGACATAGCATAACTTCAATTTACTCTTCAATCAACAATTGTCACAACACTATATATCTTAATCAATTGGCAATTTATACAACATAACTTTGTAGAATCTATTCTACGATCATTTAATACCATTATACCATTCATAATTTGCCTTGATAGTCATTGATCTGAGAATTTATTTCTCAATCTGTCATTTCACACCTTTCGACCGTCATATTCAAAATCGTTGATCCTATTGATAATTCTTACTTCATCAGATTTTTGATAATTAATAAATGCTTTATGTTCGCTCTTTTTAACAACAATTCTATTTTTATAATAGTGTTCAAAAATGTCCAACCATAAATGCTTCAATAGCATCATTCGTATTTACAGATTTTTGACAAGAAATGAATGCTTTATATTCATTATTTTCAATATTAGCTTCAACAGCTTTTGATTCATTTGATTCATTCTTTTCATCACGAATTCTATGTTAGGTGTTCTTGCCATTAATTTCATTTTTATAATAATATCTAACAACATATAATTCTTCATCATTGCTTGTTTTAACAGGTTCTTGATAATTAACAAACATCTTATGTTCATCTTTTTCAACATCAATTTTATTTTAGTTAGGATTATACATTTTATCAACTCGACCTATTTAAGCTGATCTTTGATAATAATTGAACATTTTATGTTCATTCTTTTTAACGTCTATCTCATTTTAACTACAATGTTGAACAACGTACAGTACAGTATAGTAAAAAGTATCCAATCTATACATATAGGTACCAATTTTTGGTGCTTACATAATCAATTCAGATTGGCTAATTTTGTATAATTGATTTTAATTGGTTAAAAATCTATATATATATATATATATTTTATATTAAATGCCAATTTTTTGAACTCATATAAACTTTAATTCCTTATAACTTTTTTGAAACAAAGAATAAAAAAAAATCCTCTGACAGAAATGTAGTTTAGCTAAAAATCTATCAATTTGTCAGAGGGTTTTTTGATTTGATCTTTTTTAAAAAAGTTAAAACAATTTAAAGTTTTACTAATAAAGAGTGGATGTCTTTTACTGTATGATTCTTTATCACATTAAAAAGCTATAATATCATTTTTGTCAACTTCTGCTTCATCACAATGATCTATTGCCTCAATATCATCTTCTACATTTTTACCATCACTATCATCTTTTATCAATTTACCTTTAACATACCTAATATCCACAAATTTGTCTTCTCTTCGATTATTATTCTTCATCATATTACCTCTATACATCGCATATTCATTTTGGATATTTTTATTAGAGATCACGAACATTGCTTTTTTATGACCTGATTCGATTATACAGTAACATGTTTCATCCTTCTATGTAGAGCTCAGAAGTCTGGGTCCGGTCCGGTCCGAGTCCGGCCAAACCCAGACGCGAACCTGAACTCGAACCATAAATTTTAAAATTTTCGGATCTGGACTCAAACCCAAACATAAAGTATCAAACTCGAACCAGACTTAAACATAATACAGGTTCGGTTTGGGTTTGGTTTGAAGTTTGCAAACTTGTCGGGTCCGGAATATATACTGTACATACAGTACTGCAGTAAATCTCTTTAGTAAAGGGGGAGCCCTAATTTTTCCCACCAGTTGTGATTGGTCGCATGAAATACTGTCTTCAATTGGGTAAACTAGATCACGCCACCCTCCGCAAAATCAAACAAAAAAAAATTCAAATAATTATTAAGCGAAAGTTTATACACTTTTGAAATTCTTGTAAAAAAAAAAAAAGAAAATTGAAATAATATAAATATTACCGAAAATAAGTGCTTCTGACACAATCAAGAAAATTTTATAAAGTCTTTTATTCAGTACTTTATTCTCAAGAGAATAAA